TGATCTAATTGGAATTGGATCCTGTGTCCAAGATTTATATAAATAAATACAGAGGCTATTTCTGATGCGAGTATTTATTTTGATGACAGAGATAGGAATACTGGGATATGGGATGAAGTGTCCATTTCAGTTACTGGGGTGAGTTACGTGTGAAATGCCTTAATTCCTACCAACCTACCCAAGTATTTTGGTTTCTTTGTTCTTTCCCTCTCATGCACATAAGGTTTGTTGTTGGCACCATATTAAATCCTTTCTTCTTTTTGGTGATGATTAAATCTACACACTTATACAATTTCATATGCTTATTTATGAAATTTTCTGAGAGAATCATTTTAGATGTAATTTGTGGTGAAATATGGCTGAACCTTCCAGATCCAAAACCAGCTGAGATGTTTTTGTAGGATATATATATATATATATTGATGAGTTACTGAGATGAATGGAAAACAAAACCAGCTTGTCGTAGAGACATGAACTCAAATCAGAAATGCCCTATTGGTTTGTTCTGCTCAGTCAGTCTGAAAATTAAATCATCCAATTTTTTAGTTGATATCTTCATCATTGATTGTTTCATTTCTTCTTTCAGCCATTTGGCTAGGATCATTTCAATATCTGTATCTTTGTTGCAGCCAGTAAAAATAATTGATCCGCACTTGGTGTCATCATTTTTTGACAATTATAAGAGAGTATATCTGCATGCCACAGTTGAGTTGGAAAAAACAAGAGTGCGTGGACTGCTGAGTGTTCTCTTAATATCCAAGTCACGACAGATGTTGAGGAGAACATTTACTTAGTAGAGCATCTTCAAACTCAGCATGTCTCAGTTCCTGCTAAATCAAGGTTACAATATACATTTCCTCAGGTTGGTTATACCATCTATTCTACTAGCACAAAAAAACCGTTAATCTACTGTCAACTTTGTCAATAATTCTGGGAAACTTGATCAACAGATTGGGTATTCTGAATATGATTTTTCAATCTATAACCTTACTGTTTATCTGTATAGTGGTAGCTTTTGTTTCTACTTTTCTGTATGATCTGTCTCATTTGACCTGTTATGAGCACATGTATTGTGAGCCGGTGGCCTTTGGTGTGTCAATTGTCATCAGTAATAGGTTTGAAAGACTTGAAGTAGAGAGGAATATGGCACAAAAAATAAATTATCTCAACTTCTCAAGTGATTGTCCCAATAGCTTCTGTTCAAATAAATCAATGAACTCGTCTATTGTTGGATTGGATAATCTTCAAGCATCCTTTTGCCATACTCCTGTTCTGCTGCATGGATTAAGATTCCAAGTTTCAAAGTTTCTATTGAAGTTGTCATGGTCTGAAACTGTGAATTGGCAGCTTTTCTTCTACAAGCCCAATTTATGGTGGCCCAATGGAATGGGGGGAAACAATCTTTGTACAATGTTGCTATTGACATTAATGTTAAAGGATATGGAGAATCTGATTCATGGAGACATCATTTTGGATTCCGCAAAATTGAGAGTCATATTGATAGTGCTTCTGGTGGGAGGTATGGTTCTCATTTTTCTTTCTGATGGTATCATTTTTATAGTTAATTCTTGTAGAATCACTTCAAGCTTCGAATATTTTCCTCATGTGTTATGATGCGCATGTCTCACCTTATAGGTTGTTCAAAGTCAATGGAGAACCAATTTTTATCAGAGGAGGTAACTGGATATTATCAGATGGGCTACTAAGGCTTTCAAAGAAGCGGTATAATACAGATATCAAGTTTCATGCGGACATGAACTTCAACATGATTCGTTGTTGGGGTGGTGGTCTGGCTGAAAGGCCAGAATTTTATGATTATTGTGACTATTATGGCATTCTGGTATGCTTTATTCACCCTATTCTTCTTCAACTGCTCTTTAGTCCTTTTGCTTTGTTATATTTTCAGAATTGATTTATTCTTTGATCTTTTCTGTTATGAGCTTGTCAGAGTTGTTTGCGTTTGATTTCTGTATGTAATTGTGCATTGTTATTATCTCAATCTCAATGACTCCCTTATTGCAATAAGTAAGTGTGTGTAAATAGTTCTGCTTTCATGGATTTTTTCTTTTCTTTTCTTTTTTCTGGGGTGGGGTTGGGTGAGTACATGGGTGAGTACATGGGGTTGATTTTTCTTCCATTTTTACTGACAAAAATTTAGTTCATTATTTGTGTATATTGACCTAAAAATGATTGTCATTAGGTTTAGTATGGCAAAATATTATAATATAGGAGTGTGCGTTTATTTTCTGAGAGCACTTTCTGAGGTGCTCTTGTAGCCGTGGTTCAATCACCTTGTTAAGGTTCGTTAGGTAGATACAAAGATATATTAGTGACATTGGGGTTTCAAAATTTGATCGTACTGCTGATTTAAATCTTGTAGGTCTGGCAAGAGTTCTGGATTACTGGGGACGTTGATGGACGAGGTGTTCCAGTTTCAAATCCAAATGGCCCACTAGACCATGACCTTTTCCTGTTCTGTGCAAGAGACACTGTCAAGCTCTTAAGAAATCATCCTAGTCTTGCCCTCTGGGTAGGAGGAAATGAACAAATACCACCAAATGATATAAATACTGCTCTGAAAAATGACCTGAGGCTTCATCCTTTTTTTAAGAGTGTAAATGAAAATGTCAAACCCGTGGAAAACTCATCCCTGATGTTGAGAGATCCTAGCCAGTATCTTGATGGTACACGTATTTATATCCCTGGCTCATTATGGGATGGGTTTGCTGAGGGAAATGGAAGCTTCTCGGATGGCCCTTATGGAATTCAAAATCCTGAGGACTTTTTCAAAAGTGATTTTTACCGTTACGGATTCAATCCGGAGGTTGGTAGTGTAGGAATGCCAGTTGCAGCTACTATTCGAGCTACAATGCCCCCAGAAGGATGGCAGATACCAGTCTTTAGGAAGCTTCCTGATGGTTACGTAGAAGAAGTTCCAAATCCCATATGGGAATACCATAAATACATTCCTTATTCAAATCCATCCTCCAAGGTTCATGATCAGATTCTACTTTATGGCACCCCAAAAGATCTTGATGATTTTTGCGTGAAGGTAAAAAATTATTTAATCCAGGCTTGGTGTATTTTTCATTCTCCTGTATTTTGTATTTTCTGGTGAAATCGATGTTTACTGTTCACTTTTATGTTATAATATCTCAGGCTCAACTTGTCAACTACATTCAATATAGAGCTCTTCTAGAGGGATGGACTTCTCGCATGTGGGTCAAATACACAGGTGTATTGATTTGGAAGACACAAAATCCATGGACGGGTCTTAGAGGCCAGTTCTATGACCACCTACTTGACCAAAACGCAGGCTTTTACAGCTGTCGATGTGCTGCAGAGCCAGTTCATGTACAGCTCAATCTAGATACTTATGTCATAGAGGTATGGTTTGTCTATTCAAGTTCTATTTTGTACGAGCAAGGAATAACAGGACAATAAATGTCCTTGACTGAAGGTAAATATCAGGATGGGAAGCTAGAATCAACAAGAGAGAGATATTAAATTATGACACATACGACAGGATCAAGTTATGAATACAATGGTGTATTTGCTATGTAAAGTTTTGTAACATTTCATCTTCCTGCCCTAAACAGGTTGTTAATACTACATCAGAAGAACTGTCTGATGTGTCTATTGAAGCCTCAGTATGGGATCTCGAAGGGACATGTCCATACTACAAAGTTCATGAAACTCCCCCGGTGCCGCCCAAAAAAGTCATGCCCATTGTTGAGATGAAGTATCCGAAGAGCAAAAATCCAAAGCCAGTCTATTTTCTTCTTCTTAAACTCTACAACAAGTCAGATTATATAATTTTATCTCGAAACTTTTATTGGTTGCATCTTCACGGTGGAGATTACAAGCTGCTAGAACCATATAAGAAGAGGAAAATACCTCTCAAGATAACATCGAAGGTTTTTATTAAAGGGTCTACTTATGAGATTCAAATGCATGTGCAGAACACATCTAAAACACCGGACTCTAGAGCCCTATCCTTAAGGCACAGTTCATCAGCTAGTCAAGGAGGTGTTGGCTTCCTCATGGAGTCACTGGAAATTGTAAAAGGACGGAGTGGAAAAGAACAGGAAGTTGGTTTGTTTAAGACAATATACAGACGTCTTGCTGGGAAAAGTGATGATGGATTGAGGGTCACTGAAGTGAATGGGCATGATGTAGGAGTTGCTTTCTTCCTTCATTTTTCAGTTCATGCTTCCAAGAGGGAGCATAGAGAAGGGGAAGACACTAGAATTCTTCCAGTTCATTACTCAGATAACTACTTTTCACTGGTGCCAGGGGAGGCCGTGCCTATTAGAATATCTTTTGAGGTCCCTCCGAGCGTTACTCCTCGACTCACTCTGAATGGTTGGAATTACCATGGACAAACCATCCATGAAATTATATAGGTCTGTTACACGCAATATTGTGACACCATCAGCTGTTTGTCAATACAAATGTGTTGGGAATTCATGTTTTTACATTCTCGTGCCGCCGGAGGGAAGGAATCATGTTGCAGAATTCCCATCAGGTTTTGCTTTTTTACACTGAATCCAAACTCCTCAGTCGAATATTTTATAGTGATTGCAGCTGGCAGATTAGTGAGAAATTAAAAAGAAAAAAAAAAGAAACAAAATCCAGCAACTTTGCTAGTGATGGCAGTACTTGCCAATACTTCTCATTGGTGAGTATTGTAATATTATTTTTAATTGAAAATATTTTAAATTTTAATTTTTGATTCGTGTCGATACTTTTTTATAACGAATCGATATTTCAAGATGTTTTTTATGAAATTAAGTTTTATTAATGATTTTCATATTAATTTTTTATTTCTATTTTTCATAATTTTTTTAAAATTAAAAATTAAAATCTACTAGAAAATAAGTTTGTTTTGTTTTCAAAATTAAATATTTCTTTTATTTTCTAATATATTTTACTGTTTACTTTTAACCGTTGAAGGTAAAAATATGTAACTAAGGTGCGGTTTAGCGAGAAGAGCAATCTGAAGTCAGGAGAAAGTGTGTCACGTATTTTTTTTTAATAAATATTTGCCACGTATTATTACGTGTGAAAATCTATAACGTATTACAGCTTATGCCACGCGCTTTAAAGTTTTTCACAAAAGGCAAAAAAGAGGAGGAAATGTCCTCATGAAATAGCCTTCATAAATCGATTTATTGAGGAGATGAAGGTTGCCGCTTTGTCTAGCAAACTTCGGCCTTGCAATGACTCCCCTTCCGCACCGCCAAATATCATCTGCCACATGAAGGTGAAATCGCCCATCACAAAATATTGGATTTGGATCATCAAAATGGTTTTAGGGAAATGAAGTGACAAAGGACAAATTCTATTTTCTTCCTTGAGGCTCAGGCTGGTTCCGGGTGATTTCATTATGATTAATTTAATCATAGTTTTCAGCATTTGTTGTTGATTGGCAAATTCAATAACTACCTCAATTAAAAACAGCAGGGTAGGCCGAATGATTTTCTATCCATAATCTGGCAAGATAATCTATAAATGAAGCTACTAACCTCAAGTTCTTCAGCATCAGGACGGCTAATGAACTCCTTGGCGAGCAAATATCTGTTGGGCCTATCCTTATCATCGTAGAACACTTTCCATACTCTAAGTGCAATCAACAATACGATAATCAAACAACAGACCATAAATGGATTGAATTTGACCTTGGAAAAAACGAGTGAAGATTATTTGCCAAGCCAGTATTTGACCACAACAAGCGTGAATTTCTTATCTCATTTTTCCAGGTAAAACAGCGAATCCTATAAAGTAAATCATGCTGGTGCTCTCAACATCTAGAAACTACATCAGTATCCAATCACCGGTGACCTTTTTTTTTTTTTTGAGGGGGGGGGGGAGTGGGTAAACCAATCATCCGCTTTTTAAGGAAAAGTGAAATGAGATTTGGTCTTCATCTCTCATGGGTGCAAATAATCTGAAACTGGAAGTTATGAAGATAAAAAAATGCAACATCATTTCAGGCACAGTAGTCCTTGTGGGAGGGCAATAGAAGACCTTACCCTGGATAGCACCTGAAGACTGCACCGGATGGCAGAGGTCGCATGGAATAAACAGTCGTGAACGTGCTGTACAACAAATGACAATTGTTTAGCAGTCTGATGCGATCAGAATAACTCAATTCTTGAAAAAGGAACTGAACACATACAGATAATTACTGGCTTGAAGATAAACTTCAGGCTTTATTCAATGCCACTTAAGATTTTTAGTTACCGAGAAGGCGACTAACAAAATGTAAGGTTGGGGCCTGAATGAAGGACTCAGAACAAAAACATTGGGGGTGAATTAGCTTTTCCCAGAGAAACTAGCATGGGTCACCTACAAGTAGGATAAGCGTTCATAGCTCAAGAACAGTGTACTTTGTTTTATACATATATATACATGCTCAAATATGTAGCATCCCCCTTATATTTTGAAATCCTACATTTTTCTCCTTTAAAATTAAGGAATGCCCTACATTAACTTTGTAAGAGGCCAAAGATAAATTACAAACACACCTATTTTGATTAAACTATCCTTATATCCATTTATATAGCGTAGAAAGTATTGAATAAATATATATATATATATATCTAAACAGTACAAAAATAGTTAGCTTTTTAAATTTAGAACAACTTAATTCTATGGTTTCTGAAATAATAAATAACAACAAAATTTTAAAATTATAGTAATTCATTTTTAATAAAAAAGTCTATTAATCTTGAGATATATTGGTGATATTTTAACTTCTGTGCAACTTGTGTATATTTTCAAATTTTTCATAATTCAAGGGAAGATCATAATTTAGGGATTTTGCAGCGGAGTGGAGTGAGGAATAATTTATGGGAGAATTACAAGAAGTCCCAAATAAAAGAAAATTAATTATCTTCTCAGTCTCATTTACAAGTCAAATTTTTGCATTTGCAAGTCAAACTTCTGTATTTACAAGTAGTTAGAACCTATGAGTAATTAATTTTCTCATTTGGGGATTTGTATGTAATTCTCCCATAATTTATCCCCACATTTATCATAGTAGGAACCTTGAAAAGGGAAGGGGAGGGAGGGAAGATTGAAGATAGGATAGACTAAAAGTGAAGCCACAGACTTGAGCCTCTAAAGGCAATAACAAAGCAAAAACAAGGCTGGTAAAGGTTTAGAACAACTACCAAAGCCAGTCGTTATACAGAACCTATATTTCCGATACTAAAGGGGAAGAAAATTAAGTTAGATAACTCAAGAAGAAAATTTTCCATCCGAATTACATGGATCATAACAAACTTTTTACAACTCGAGAACACACGTTTATAACTCCAATAACAGATGGCATCATTATTTCCAACTGCCACTTGAAATAAAGAGTAAACAAAATATGAAATGATTTAAATATCAATACCTTTTATATATAAAAAAAAGGAAATCACACCTTAAAAAGTAGCGTCTTAACTTCCGAACATTTACTCCAACCCCAACATCCTCACTAATCAAGCGTGGATTCCACATGATGAGAGGCCTTGGCTGCAAATATACACAAAGTTTGTAATGCAAACTAATATATACAAATTTCTAAAATTAATGCCTATTGCTGAAACGGCATTGCCGAGTGATGCTATCCTGCAGACTATGGTGGTTTGCTAGAATGACACATGGTGTGAGAAATACCAGGCATGCTGAATCCCTTGTTATTTAATGCCACCCATCATATCTGGTAAACTGATATAACTTGCAACCACCTAGAATTCTAATACAAAGAATAAAGTCAAGCATGAATTCAAGAAAATATCACGTTTTGCTTTCCCCATTAAACGTTAAAATGTATCACATTGATCAGTTGGAGGATGCTTAAGTTTTAGATATCATGATAGTTCCTGTTAAACAATGAGTGCATAGAAGATGGAAGAATCTGAGGCCAGGAATGTACTGGATCATTTGATAGCTCAGATGCAATTCTCTCAACGTATTCTAACATTTGATAATCAGGAACGACCATGACAATGATCTCGTCTCCACTTTCTACAGGCCTTCGATCACTTAAGCTGGATTAACATGACAGAAAATTGTACATGATTTAACAGTAGTAGCCATTAATATACAGAATCATGAAAGTAAATTGTGACATCATGGCCATTAAAGTTCTCAAGGGAAATGCTAAAACAAGGACCCATTGACAAAAAGTACACGCTGAGATCATGCTTCCATGGCACAGGAAGCAATTATATATGGAGAAATATTTTATGTGGCAGCAGTTACCTTGCAAATTTAAATGCAGCATCCTTCCACCGATATTTTAGAAGAGCAGCTGCACCAGCATCTGGAAATATGGCTTTGACACTCTAAAAATCAAACTACTGGAACTTAGAAAGCAAGTTAACAACTTATACAGGACATATGCATCAACATCAACATCGAAGAAACCTAAAGATTTCATTTCAAAGGCCCGTAAAGAAAAAGGTGCAGCAATAAATTTCATTTCGAAGTCTTCTTTTGACCCTTGAGAATTTTGTAAGGCTAATCATTTTCTTTTTATTTGTGTGCGTGTGTTTTTAGGCCTGTGATACAAATGGCAAAAGCACTTCAGTACTGGACCTTGATGTTTTATAGAAAAGCCAGGAGCCTGACAATCCTCTATATGTTGAAATATTACAACTCGTAGCGACCCATCTGACTCACCTGACATTCTGTTCCTTTGATAAGGGTGTCCAAGAAAATCCTTGACAATTCCCAGAGCTCCACCTGTGCCCCTTCATCATCTAAAAATTGCAGTTGGGGGATTAAAAGCTCAACCTGCAAAATGGTTAACATAAGACAGATGGACAGATACTCATTCACTCATACGTGCCTTCACACGCATGCAGGGAATTTTTTTTTTTGAGGCAGGGTCGAGGGTCAAGAACTGAAAAATCATTCATTGATAAACTAAATCACATGCGAGACAACTTCTCTAGAATTATAATTTTGACATCAAATTGCCCACGCTTAAGCATTTTAGTTAACATAAAATGCAAAGTGATAGTACTGAAACAAGAAGAAAATATCTGACTTTTGATCACCTTAAGCGGGTCAAATGTAAGAAGTACTTGATCTTAGAAAATAGCATGGTCAAGATGACTGGACTCTTAAAAAATGACTGGACTGCAGAATTGCATAGCATGTCCTTCACATAATGGTATCAAGTCACGTACCTAAATTCATATAGGTGGATAAAGAAGCATGAATAATCAATCATTTGGTTTCATTGTCTTACTTTCAGTCATCTTATAGACAAATTAAAACATAGGAATATCTGATGTTAACTTGGCTAAGACGGTTATACTCTTAAGAAAAGATAGAAATAGGAATATCTGATGTTAACTTGGCTAAGACAGTTATACTCTTAAGAAAAGATAGAAGAATACCATTGTACGTCATCTACATAGTGGATTCAACTCATCCTAACTGAATTAATCGAAGATATCCTCCAATGACAGCAATGTTACTTTTTACCTAAAATGCCGTACAGACTTCGAATGGTTTCACATATAGTCCAAATTTTAATTTTTCACACATATATTTTGTGTCGAAAATAGGCCAGACAGCGCAAAGATGATGCGCGCATGCGCACACACATTGGGAACTAGATTATCAACTTGAGCGCATACTATGGCTCTCATTCCTCCTGAAGACACAAAAAGGGCAGTGGCCTGACTTGATTGCCGCACTGCACCCTCCAAGTCAGGAGGCAAGCAACTGAAAGAAAAAACAGGAGAGTCAATAGCTTTAGATACCTATTGAAATGTAGCTCAAGCCTCAGGAAAGACAAGGAGCGAAAGAATCATTGCATCAATTCTTATTATATAGCTGCAATAGATTGAGTCACTGTAATTTTTCGTAAAGGTGCACATATATCAGAAAGTGTAATATCGCATCTCGATAAACTTGGAGCCCATACGTAACAAATAGAGTGCAGTCATTGTCATCAGTCATGGACACAACATGCAAAACATATTAATGAATCAGAACAAGTGGTGGATTTCAAATCATGTAACCTCGATGAAATGATTATTCGGTTTCTGTAAGATACCCTAGAAAGCGCAACCCGGAAAAAAGTTTACGGAACAGCAAGCCTGCGATGAAACTATGGCTCAAAATTACAGAAATAATCAGAAATGGCGAAAAGGAAGTGTAATCAATAGAAGGTATCAATGCCGTCAAAATTACTTGAAAAGGCTTAGGCCAAAAGAAGCGCAAAGCACAAAATCCTGACTATGGAGTTCTACGGATTATATATCTCTAATAACTGGTCTATGGCGGTAAACAACATAAATCCAAACTGAATACAATTTACAGTGCTTACATTGAAAATTGTTAAGTAACTGAAGTAACCGATACCTGTCATCTTCCTCATCCTCCTCAAAGCTTTCTAGTGCAGATGATGACGTTTCGACCTCTCGAACACTGTCTTGAGGAGGTTCGCCTTGGAACTTCTCAAACTTGGCACGAATTCTTGAGGTAGAGCTAGCATATTGATGGGAAATCGCATGGTATCCGCAAAAGATAGAGTTTGAGAAAGAAAGGGAACAGCCAGTGGCTGAAGTTGAAATTGGTATCGAGGGACGGTTGAAGAGCAAGTTGCAGCTTGAACTCGAACAAGCCATCTTTTCCGATTGATGCTTACTGCTTCTCTCTTCCTAAGCCATGGATGATCCAATCGATGAGTGGAAGCGCTTGCCCCACGGCGCTTTTTTCGGCCCCCTTTTTGGGCCTGACCCTTCGGCTTATTTGCTAGGTCCAATTTGGCAGATCGCAGTTGGCACACCACACCATTTTCTCCTTTATTTCCCTTCATTTACTTTTATCATGCTTGAATTTCTTTTATTATCTCTTTGTTATCCATGGTTCTCGTAAACACTTCTTTAAATGGGTTGATGATCATTTTCAATTATCACATTTATGCATGAAGAGGAGAGCCTTCAAATCAAAACTTTCTGCTACCCGCAAATCTTCATTCCACTGCAAGGTTGATATTCTTGTTCATGACATGCAGAAGCAGGGTATTTTATTATGTTGTCGCTTTTTTTGAGAAATAATTTTTTATCCTTATAATTTTATTAAATTTTATTTTTAATTTTTATAATTTTTTTAATATTTTTAACCAGCAATTTAAAACATTGAAAAAAAAAAAGTAAAACTATAGGGACCTGAAAAATAAATGTCATCCAATCTTTCTTAAATTATAGGGATTAAAAACTCTAGAAAAAAAAAACTAAAGGGATTAAAAGCCAAACCCGATAAAATTATAGGAATCAATGATTATATTTTTCCTTTCCTTTTTAAAAAATAAAAAGTGGTTTATAGCCTCCATATATTAAATATCAATATTTAAATAAATACAATTATTAGAGAAAAGTGCCATAAAATACTTCACTATCAAAATAATTACTGAAAATAACTTAAGAGAGATTTAGCATTGAAAACCTTTGCTGGCACTAATTATTGAGGATTAAATCATAAAAATGTCCTCACTGATTAAAAAAAAAAAGGTTGAATGAAATCTTTTGCTTTTAATATTTCACACAAGGTCCTTCACTGTTAATATGTCGCAAATTCTTTTCTTATCAATAATTTCATGTCAACACTTAATATAAGATCTTTTAGTGTCAATATGTCAATTTGGAATAGTAGAAGCAAGGGTCTTCAATCATATGTAACAATTTTTTTGCTATATGCATTTAAAATTCAATTATATGCAAGTAAACTTTTATTTATTCAAATAACAACTTTTGATATTATAAAAATTCTTAACTTAGAAACATTCTTGAATACTAGAAACAGGGATCCTTAGTCATATATAACGATTCATTCATTATATACATTTGAACTTTAATTGTATGTAAGAAAACTTTATTTGTTCCAAAAAAATTTAGTTTAGAAGTATTCTATAATATTAGAAGCAAAGGTTTTTGGTCATACATTGCAATTCAATCATATGCAATGATTCTTCCATTATATGCATTTAAAATTCAATTATATATGAGAAAACTTCTTTTTATTTAAATAATAACTTTTGATATTCTATAAATTCTTAACCTAGAAACATTTTGAAATATTAAAAGCACAAATCTTTAGTCATATGCAGCGATTATTTCACTATATGCATATGAACTTTAATTATATGTAAGAAAATTTTCATTTATTTGAATAACATCTTTTGATATTTTAAAAATTGTTAACTTAGATTAATATCACATGTTGTTATTTGAATACTATAAATGCATATTCTAAAAATTTTCTATTTTTTCCATAAAAATGCGTGAGGATGTTTTGAAAATGAAAATAATTATTCTAAAAATCTACCTATTTTTCATGAAAACACATATAAATATTTTGAAAAGATAAATGATGATTCTAAAAATTTACTTATTTTTCATGAAAATACCTATGGATATTCTAAAAATGCAAATAGTTATTCTAAAAATTTTCTCACTTTTCATGAAAACACTTATGAATATTTTAAAAAATATACATCCTTAGAAGATTAAGCATTGGAAAAATGTTAGGAGGAATACAAGTTTGAAATTGATGAATAAGTTTATTAACATTGAGTTAATACAAGCTTTTACATCTCACATGGATTTTGCAGCAATTACAATTTATTAGTCTCAGCTCTCAAAATATCAAAGCAAAACATAAGTTGCTATCTAATATGCAAATGGATATTTTGAAAAAGCAAAATGAAAATGTTGAAAAATTTTTAAATCTTTTCAAGAAAATGTAACATTCGAGAAAATTAGACCTAATTTAGCTAAGTCAAAATAAGGTCAACTAAATATGTTAATGTGGTGTGTGGTTAGAGGGTTCCAACAAGTGCTTTGGGCGATGATTTTAGCCTTAGAATTAGGTCTGAAATAAAGTTAGGGTGTCTAGGCCTCAAAATTGGAGAAAAACAAAAGAAAGCATCTCTGTGCCATATGTTATGGCACACACATCATGGCCATAATGTATGAGTCACTCGAGTGAAGCAGAGTTCTCTATGCCACATGCCGCAACGCTTGTAGTATGTAGATGCCTATTCTTTTTGCAAAAAGAGTTTTTGTAAGGCCACTCTTGCTAATTCAACTTTTTATCACAAACTCTTAAGTAACCATAAGATTAACCCCAGATAAATTTCCTAATCATGGTTGACAGTTTTCATAATACTTATGAAATCAAGTCATATTTTCACAAATTAGGATCCCAAGTTTTCAAACTTATAAGAATATTCAAAGATCATTTGATAATTAAAATTAAAGTAAAATGTAATTATGAGGTCATAAGATTCTAAAAGGGTTCAAAATATGTGCATTTATATTGAAAATAGTAATTCAGCATAGGAACAAGGGAATGAGTCGCAACATACTCGTCATTGTGTCATGTGCTGCGGCGCATTGCATGGTTTGACAATTCACTAAGGTGAACTTTTCTCGCACCTTATTTCTCCATCCGACATCGAATTGAGGTAATTTAGGTATCTATAAAAAGCTCTTTTCATAATATAATTAATATCACTTGTCTTACTTCCAAATAATTTCACACGAAAAAGTTAGACTCCCAAATATATTTTCTCAACATTTTACACTTTGTGCAATACAGGGGCGTCCAAACCCAATATTCAAGCGCTAAAAGCTACCACTAACACTTAAACCTAAGGCTGTATAAAAGATTAGATGGCACTAAACTTCAGTCTAACCAGAAGTCTGATCTCCTTTATGAAAAGGATTGGGTTAGGCAACCTGTAGTCAGGTCTTGCCTAGCGATAACTCAAAAATTAATAAGATCGGACTTGATTTATAAAATTAAGAGACTGGTCCTATTAGTCAAATACTCACTTAACTTTTTTTTCCTTTTTTATCTATGAGAGATAATAATCTATTTCAACCTAATAAACTCAATTAAGATAATAAAAACACTTATCATAATAAATTCATAATAATTTTCAATAACAACAAAAAATATTTCAATTACAATCCAAATGATTTAAATTTACAACTTTAATAAAAACAATAATAAATGAACTTCAACAGCACTATATTATAATAATAAATTATAAATAAACTCAATAAATCTTCACACAATCATATCCTTAACGTCAATTACACTTAAAGTATTTGTCAAAAATAAATGAATTATAATGATATTTAATAAATTAATGGCATTAGACTGTATCGAGTGGTCTAGATGCTTAGTCTTATGTCTAGTCTAATTCAAAGAAATAATCTGATCTTTTTAGTCTTTTTAATTTTAAAGGACTAGTATTTATATTGACTGGACAGGACAAGACCATTGCAAGTCAAATTGGGTCGGACCAGAATGAAGGACATTTGTATAGCCCTACCTAGAGCACACTCAATAGGCTTAAGATGACATATGTAACACACTACATTAATACTAGGCAAGTGGGTCATAAATTGGCCCGCACGGGCCAGCGTTTTAATGGGTTGGGTTAAGGCTAACCCACCAGATAAACAAGTTAGGAAAACCTAACCCAACCCATTGATTAGCGAGTTGGCCAGCCTATGGGTTAGCTCACAAAATGCACCAGTTTCCTTTCTTTAAAATTATTTAAAATTTATATAAGTTATATACACCAAAATCAGATCACTACTCCCATAAATCTTATTAGAGCACATCCTATAAGCCACATGAAAGGACTCTACTATAGCAATGAGCAAATTAGAAATTAAGTGGATAAAAAATTTCAGTTTTTAAGTTTTAACTTCCATTTTATTTAACTTCTACTATAATAACCTTTCAGTTTTCTAAAGAAAAGCATTAGAATCAAGTGAATAAAGAAGATAGATGTACCCCCACGCTTCACAGTCCAAGTAAGGGCCTTAAATAAAAAGTGATCATTACAAGGAAAGTAACTAATAGAATGTTAGTTTAATGTAAAGGAAGCTAAAAGAATTGAGACATAATCTAAACACAAGAAGTATGGTGATATGGAGTGCAAGTGTAAGATAGAGAAAGGTAGATCTATGAATAGGAGACTAAGGAAGAAACTTTGATTTAATAGCCGACTGCATATTGGAAGGACTTTTTTAAATGTTCCAAGCTTCTAATGCTCTGCTAGAAGCTCCAAAAAATATTGGTTGCAAAATAAGAAGTATTTTCTTTTGAATTGAAGGCATAAATCAAACTTGAAACTTAAATCCATAGAAATTTCAAGGCAAGGACCAAGTCTCTATCTTTTCCTTTTCTCCCTAAGAATGCATGGTCATAGAGAGGCTTAAGTGAGATGAAGATAATTTGCAAGAGCACAAGATTTCAAGTCTTTTAAAGGCACAGGCAAGATTGAGAGCGTAAGCTTTGATGATCTACAACAGCGCTTGTGACAATCTAGAGGAGAAAACAAGATGAAGGCAAAGTTCTTAAGCTTTTAGGGAGTAAAGTTCTTTCTTAAGCATTTTTAAGCTTAAGGATTTTAAAGAATAAAGAAATATCATTATATAAAATTATCAATGAGTAAAAAAAAGAGAATGGAGAAGCTAGGTATGTGCGACTATGCATACATTTGTGAGATCAAGACAAAATGGGAAAGTAACTGCTAGCTAGATTTAGATTTTAAAAAAAAAAACAAACAAACTATGAGCTGGCCTTTAGATTAAGCAACCTAGCCTATTTAGCTTGTTATTTTTTATATTTATACCAGCCTAACCAATTTTTGAAAATGGCTCCTTTTCTTAGCCTAAACCACTAAACTTGGTGAGCTAATGGGCCAGCCTGTTGAGTTAAACCTGTTTACTTAGCTGTACACCAC